TCTCTCTCTCTCTCTCTCTCTCTCTCTCTCTCTCTCCTTCCCTCCCTTTCTTTCTCTCATTCTGTTAGTTTCTCTTTCTCTTTCTGCTCCATCACAGGAGCTACTTGAACACCCAAGCCTGGAGACTTCTTATGTTCACTCATCTTCCCCAATCCCAAGTGTCCCGTGAGCAAGGGAACCACCACCTGTTTACCTGCACAGGGTCTGTATTTTTATCATTGTTGTCATGTTTGGGCATGAAGCTGTGTTAATATTCTTGTGTGCTAGCTGTGGAGGGATGTCTCTGTCTCTGCTTTTCTGTCTGTCTTTGTCTGTCTCTTGTCTATCTCTCTGTATGTCTCTTTGTCTTTCTCTGTTTCTGTCTCTTTTCTCTCTCTCTCTCTCTCTCTCTCTCTCTCTCTCTCTCTCTCTCTCTTCCTCCCTCCCTCCCTCCCTCACTCTCCTCCAGGTTCCTTGGCCTTGCAGTGTGTGTGTACACACCTGGGTAGCAAGCAGATGGGTAGATATGATAGGGAAGCTGCCTCTAGCTCAGACCACCCCCCACTCCCTTTCTTCCTTTCCTTCCTTCCTTCTCCTCTTTCTCCCCACAGTTAGCACAGACTTTTGCTCCCTCACAATGGATGATATGCTGTGTTTTTCAGCTGAGGAAGTCACTGTAGGGCTGAAGGAAGGTGAGGTGGGGGTAGGGGACACTTCAAACCCCGCCTGATGGCTCTGATGGGGTAAGGAACAAATCAAGTGGCAACCTGGATCTGAGAGTGGACAGGCACAACATGGTTGTCCACAAAGTGTGGCGCCCAGCTTCCTTCCCATGGATGGCCCTGTTTCAGATGCCCGTGTTGTGTCTGGGACCTACAGATCTTATGGCTTTGTGCATGGTATACAGATGTCCCCTAAATCTAGAAAGGCAGAAGAACCTGGTATAGAGAGGAAGGATTCTATAGGGACAAATTCCTCAACTACTAGCTCTGCAACTCTAATGGAAGCATGCCGCTTATTAAACCTCAATTTTCCCATCTTTCAAAGAGACTGGTCACCCTTCCTTCATGTGTGGGGAGATTAAATGAGTTGGTGCATGTAAATAAAGGATGTCCAAAGGGGCGGCACTGAAACAATGTCAGTAAAGCTCACGATATTGTTATAAATTGTTTGTGATTAATATTGCTGTTGATCATTTGGGGGAGGGGCTCTCCAGGGCCTCAACAGAGATCTGGGAAAGGCAGCAGGTGGGCAAATGGGGGGATGGGAAAGTGGAGGAAGGCAGAAGCAGCTCTATGTTGTTACTTCTCATTTGTGGGCTAGGCAGTCTCCCATCCCTTCTCCACTCCAGGCTTCTTTCTCTGCACTTGCCTCTGTACACACACACACACACACACACACACACGCACACGCACACACCCAGGCTTGAGCCCTTGTGAGCCACCAGAGGCCTGACTTGCAGCCTGCTACATTCCTGGCCCTGATAATGTATGTGTCTCCCTGTTGAGGGTAGACATGGCAAGAATTTGGCCTGTGCTCAGTGGTTGGCAGGGCCTAGAGACAAGCTGAAGCTTCTGAGATCACAGGGCTTCAGGTAGAGCTGGGGTGTGGCCCATGCAGCAGCCAGACCTGTGGGAGATGGATCCCAGGGAGTTGCTCACCTGGAGTCTGGGGTGGGATAAGAGTGGAGCTTGATGGCTGGTTTCTGGATGTGGAGATGTGGAACACTGAGTGAGGGGTCAGGAGCCAAGGGAAAAGCAGAAGGTGGGGAAAGACTGAGCCCCAGAGACCCTTTCTGTGAGAACAGGGAGGGCTAGGGCCTTGAACCATAGACTTTTTTGAACAGGCATTTGGTGTGGAAAGCAAAGAGCATACATAGTCTGTGGTCTGGAGCGTCTGGGACATCTGGGACTGAGTGTGAGTGTATTTGTGTGATTGACAATGTGTGGCTGTGTGTACAGACTGTGTGTGTATGTGTGCTCATGGGCATGTGAGTATATATGAGTCTCTGTGTGTGAGGAGGCCATGTGAAGTTGTGTGTGGCTGTCTGGGTAGGCTGGTGAGTGTACAGGGGTGTAGGCATGACTTTGCATGTCTGTCTGGGTGAGCAAATGGGCATGTTTGATTCTGACCCAAGTGTGAGTGGGTTTTTCTCAGCCTATAGGCCTGTTGAATGTCTGGTTGTATATGTGTGTCGTACCAATTTGCCTTTGAGTATATATGTCTGTTTATATGTATATGAGAGTGTGGGTTTCAAAATGCTGAGGTATTCATGTCCAACTAAATGACTGCCTATTTCTATTTGATTGTATATGTACATGTATGCCCACCTGTGCTTATCAATGTGTATGCATCTAAATGCATTTATATAAAGATATATAAATGCATGCTCATTTATGTAGAAGAGGGTGTATATATGTGCATATGCTTTATGCTGTGTGGTCTGGGTGTACTTGTCATGTATTTATGTGAGTAAGCCTGTGTATGAATGTCTGTGTGGATTTTGTAGGATTTCAAATTATTTTACATGTCTGTGTGTGCATGTTTGAAGTGCACACTGCGTCTATATCCAATTAGGGACATGTGAGTATAGGTGACACACTAGTATAAAGAGAACTAATTTTGTGCTTAGAGGAAGCTGACAGTATGAGCTACTATATGTTATAAACGCACATACACACTCACAAGTAGGTACGTGTGTTTATATGTTTAACTGTGTACACACCATTATGGGTGAGTGCATATCTAATTATGGTATGCATGAGTAACTACATTTCATAATACTTAGGTGCATGTATCTCATCATGTGTTTTGTTTGGACTTCTGAGTGCGAGTGTGAATATGTGTTTGAATATGCCTGAGAATGATTGTGCATGCATATGTGGTTATATATGCTAATATATATGAACATCTAACTATGTGCATATAGACACATATGCCTATGTATTATACACATCTAATTGTGTGTGTGAATGTACAGGTGTGTGACTATATCTGTTTGTATAGTTCTAATTATTTTCACTTGTGTTTGTATTTATCTTTATTCTGGGTCATAGATTACAGAACACTGTATGCACGTGTTACTCTCAGCTAATAAGAATGAGTGTGTGTGTACATGTATATAAGGAGGTCTTTGCATGTGTCTGATGAGTGTGGATCAGTCTTGTGCAGATGAACAGGTGTCTGTGGAATATGTGGAATATGTGATTCTTCTTTCATTTGTGTGGTTTCTCATGATGGATGTGTGAATGTGTGTGAATGCACATGGCATGCATATCAGTGTGATAGTGTGTGTTTTGCGAGTATATTTGTGTTTCCATATCTACTTATGAGCATTTGAGAATGAATAAAGTATACACCTGTGTCACGTGAATATACTCATAGATGAACTTGCTCAGCTTTGCATACAAGTCTATGTGCTAGAATGTCTGTATGTGTATACATCATCTCATTTACCAGAAGGTGTATGTCTGGCTGTTTGTAAGCACACCTACGCAAGTGTGTTACGTGTGTATGCAGATATACTTGTATGGTTATGTCTGGGAAGGTGTGCAAATATTTGGGAGCTTGCCTTTCTGTGTCCATGCTTCTTCATCATCCCCTTAGGTGTGATTCAGAGTCTGCCTGTCTGTGGACATGTGAAAGTATGTGTGTATACATATCCATTCGTGAGTAAATGCATGTCATCCATGAGCATCATGCCATGTGAATGTATGTCATGCACCTATGCCTGTGTTTAAGAGTAAGTAGATGTATATATGTGTGACCGAGTACAGTGTACATGTGCATTGCTATGTGCATTCTATGGGTGAGTGAAGGTATTTGTGCATGCACCTGTCTGATGGTGTATGAGACAGACTTAGTCTTGATCCTGTGCAGATGAGCCTTATCACTCAAAAGAAAAGGTTCTTATAAACTTTTGTGACTCTGTATGCACCTAAGCATGTATTTATATGCATGTCTGAGAGTCAGTGGTATTCTGATAGACTACATCTGTTTGTAACAATGTGTAGACATCCTACATATTGGCAAGCTATGACACCTGAACAGTCTATGACACCTCTTCTGGGGCCTTTCTGACCTTGACCATGTTCTAGACTTTTGTGGGGGCTCTCAGGATAATTCCTGTCATCATTCATACCCAAGAAGTATGGATCAATCATGGTTGATATCCTACTAGAGGAAGAGGGCCTATAATCTGTTTGGAAAAGGATTCCTTGACACACAAGGATCTCCCTTTCCCTTCCCCTCACCATCAAAGCCTCAGGGAAGAATGGTGTTGTATAGTGCTTAGGACTGGATAATAGTGTTCATAGAAAGCACCCAAATTATGCCATCGAATTTAGATGTAAATGTGTACAAATAAATGAATATATATATATTCTCCATCCATCTTAGGAAAGAGAGGTAGAGAGAGAGAGGGAGAGGGAGGGAGAGAGAGATATATCTTGGGGAGAGATTAAGGGAGAATGTGAGTTGTGTGTGTGTAAGAGAGAGCATGGATGTTTCTGGGTAGGATGTGCATTGAGATATTAGTTTTATTTGAGAGAGGAGGGGTGAATATGGGTGTATGTAAATTGATCTGTTTGGGTGGAGGGTGGTTTGAATGACAGTTTGCTTTGATTGGGCAGGAATATGTATGAAAACATATATAGAGATAGAGATAGATATATAGGATATAGATAGATAGATAGATAGATAGATAGATAGATAGATAGATGAGGGGATGTGGTATGGATATATTTAGGTCTTGCAAGAGAGTATGAGGTTATCTGAATAGCATATGTGTTTGATAGTGTGGCTGAATATCCTGTTTTGTGTTTAAGAGACATTGTGGGGGGCCAGGTATTTAGCTCAGTGGCAACACACCTACCTCCCAAGTGCAAGGTCCTGAGTTCAATCCCAAGGGAAAAAAAACCAAAGAGAAATTGTGGGTGTTTCTGGGTAGATTATGTATATGAGAAGTATGAGTGTATTGGTGTATGGGATATTCAAGTATGGTAGATGGTAAATGGTATGTATCTACCTGTGTTAGAGCATATTGTTTTCAGCAATGGAAGTATGTGATTGGGTGATTCTAGATATCTGTAGGAGAGAAAATTTGGGCATATCTAGGTGAAAGTGCATGTGTATAAGTAATTGGGTGTGTCCATGGATGGTGTGTGAATGATGGAGGGTGTATATGAAAAAGTATGAGTTTATGGGCATTTTGTGTGTGCAGTG